CAAATACCTTAAATTCTATGGTTATCATTTAGCCACATTAGTCAATTTTTGTTAGTTGCCTAATTATTGAATTTTTTTTGTTACTTGGCAAATTAACCCATAAAATAAAGTATTGCATTACAAGAGAGAGTGTGAAAAAATAAGCTGAAACAAAACGACAATTTGGCCCAAAACATGTCCAATGGCTGAAAAAGCCCAAATTTTTTTGTCGTTCAAAAGCTCATAATCATGTGATTTGGGTTAATTAACAGCTTCCTTACCAATGCATCTAGCTAATGGAGGATGGAGTAAGCTTTGGTTGAAATGTATTTTGGAAACTCATGCCTTACTTCACTGGTACAAATAATTACAACAAAGTTATTATTGATGAGATAATTGAGACTTTCATGAGAAAATGAGATGCATTAACTGATGCTCCTAAATTAATCACATGACTAAAGAGGATTACAAGAATCTTGGCAAATTGCAGAAAGGGAAATGGCACACAAGAGAAACCCACAGAAATTATTATTCCTTCAAGATCACCACTGAAGTGATAATATTGAGAGAATCTCACAACGACAATCATATCTTGTTGTACAGTGACATGTTTCAAGAATTGGGGTGGTATTTTTTTTGTTCTGGACACGATCCGATCCATTAAAAACCAGCTTGATCTCTTTTTCGTGGCTGCGAAAAATACCGTCAATCCATAGAAGAATATAAAGCATATCTCTTCGCTTATTCGCCACCACTTTGAGTTGGGCTATCTCACACCCTTCATCTGCGCATGATTCTTGAAAAAACATAATATTCTTTGATAGAAAAAAGTGTCCACATACAAAAATTTATAATTCTCATGTACAAAATATTTATAAACAAAACAGGTGCCTTATTCGTTAGCATATCTGCAACAAATAAAAACATATGGTTCTGTTCAATCAAAATGCTCATCTTGGTATCTAGGAGGAAAAAAGGGTAGGTGAATTATCATTATGCAGCTTTTGTTGGTCCTTTCCTTACTATAGTATCAATTAAAGAAGAACAAAAATATTAATTTGGTTTACAATAAAGTCACTTTAATGTAGCTTGGGGGAACCTTTTAGACGATCTTCTGTGATCTCTTTTTCTCTCTTTTATGGTCTCAACATTCTTTTCTTCTTCCTTTGTTTGTTTATAAATTGCTTATGATTCAAGAAACTCCAGTCTCAGGCAACACTGAGCTTAATACTGTAGTATATATACACACACACACAAAAACCACTTCTCTTCTAACCCGAACCCCGAAAAGCGAGGTTTAATCTCATGAGTTTTCAGTTTTAAATCTCTTTCAGTATACTAAGGAGAAAACTTTGTTTCTTCTGTTTCAAGAAACAAGTCCTAGATCGATTGAGGCTTCCTTCAAGAAATCATGGATAAAGTTGTGAGAATGTCTTCAGAGAAAGGAGTGGTTATATTCAGCAAGAGCTCGTGTTGCATGTCTTATGCGGTCCAAGTCCTCTTCCAGGATCTTGGGGTTCACCCGACCATCCATGAGATCGATAAAGACCCTGACTGTCGTGAGATCGAGAAAGCCCTAATGAGGCTCGGGTGTTCCACGCCAGTCCCAGCCATCTTTGTGGGCGGGAAGCTCGTGGGTTCGACCAATGAAGTCATGTCACTGCACCTAAGCGGCTCGCTGGTTCCGCTGGTTAAGCCATTTCAGGCCAATCTATTTTAAAAAGAAAAGTCGTTCTAACTTTCTAAACTACAAAAAATGTATTTCAATAAGAAACAAAAGATATCATAGTATAGCCTATGCAACCTTTGTAATGTAGCTTTAAGAATATTGTTGGGTTTGTAACTTCAGAAAGAGTGCTGCTATATAATAAAGGGCAATTCTTACAAATACCACACTTTAAAGGTTTGTTTCCAGAAATACCACAATTTTTCAAATGTTCCACCAATACCACAAACACAAAATTGATTTTCTACAACGAGTTTAACTTTAAGTCTACATGGTACTACTACTCTATATTTCAGGGGATTATTAACATTTCTTTTTATTCAAAACAATTAAGGGTAATAAATAACATTCACTGTCAATTCTTAAGAACCCACCATAGAAAGAGTACAGATCGAGTGTATATATGTATTTCTACAGATACAAAGCGATTACAGAACAATTTGTCTGATTCACTACAAGAACATAAGAAAGTTGCTGGATTTTCAAGTGTGAGAGATATCTGATGAAGAAGACATTGAAGTGACATTAATGGGATATACCTCAGTTACTTCTTCAGTCTTCTCGTCAAAGTAGACCACATCCTGCATAGTGAGCTGGTGGTATTCGACGACTCCTCTCAGATACAGGTTTTCGCGTGCGTATTGCGAGTTCTCGTGAGCCAACCGAGCCTTCTCAGCCAATAATGTTTCGAGTTGAAGTCGCACCTACGGATGAGAGAAATAACACAACCAAAGATCAGAAATGTACATAAAAAATTGTTAACCATAATGGCTTTGTAAAAATTAAAAGGAATTGATACCAGATCATCATCATCTATTTGGCTGTTTCCGCCACTACGATTCTCCCTCAGAACTTTATTTTCTTCTTCCAGCTGAGCGCATCGTTGCTTTGCAAAGGCCAGGTCAGATTTTACCATCTTCAGCTCCCGAAGAAGGAGCTTTGCCTTGGCAGCCATGGCCATTGCAACCTGTTGAGACAAATTTATAGGAGGTTCGGTATTTATATCTGGATTTTTAACATTCAAGAGCATAATTCGAAAAACTGATATTCTATAATCTGTTCTAAGTTCAAACCCAAGAATCATCCATTGAAGAGATAACAGCAGCAGAAATAAGCAGATATATTTTTGCTGCTGTGAACCAATAAATGATACAGAGCAGCCACCTTACGTCGCGAGATGCCTTTAGTTGAATTTCCAAATCTGCTTGTATCTCAGGATTCTGCTGACTCCGTGAAAGACTTGGCTTTTTTTTAATCTTCTTACGGGTTTCTTGAATGATGCCTGCAGTACGATTCTCCACAGCTGTAATACCCTCCTGACAAAATTCACAGAAAAATAACAAGCTCTTAATAAGTACAGTGAAGAAAAAAAATTACTAAAACCCATAAGCCTCCTCATACAAAACAAGTATGAGAACTCGCATAACCTAAAGCAAAATACAATTAGATGTATGTGGCCTATGGTTCATAAACAGTAAGAAACTAACCTCTACTGCAGTGCCAATGTAATTTAATGATGAAGTGATAGCATCTAAGCTCCTCTGTAATGAAGGATTCTCGATTTTCCTACCCGTCTGACCAGCTTCCTGAAACATGGAAACGAGTTTAGCGAAATCCACAAGAAGTGAATGCATCCTACAAGAGAATTAGAGGACCAAATGCAATAAACCTAGCCATTAACCTTTGTTCCTGAAGTCGAAGAAGAGATGTTGTGCTCCGTTCTCTTGGGACTTCGAGGCGATTGATGAGGATCATCCTCATCTAAAAGAGCCTTAGCTTTACTAGCTAGACTTCCCCAAAAGCTTCGTTTTGGTTCGTTCAAACTTTTCATAGACGTGTACTCATGAGGCTTCGCCTCCTATTCAAAACAGAGAAGCATGTTCAACACCGAGACATTTCAATTGAGGCAAAAAAACAGAGTAACCCATTAATCATTCCAACTTCTTAAACAAGACTAAACAAGCAATTATGCGATCAAAGAGAGAAAAAAAGCAAAAGACGAAACCTTTGGGGGAGTGGGAACAGGAGCAGAAGAAGGAGACGAGTAAGCAGAGGAAAGAGAAGAGTCTCTGTGTGCAGAAGATGCTCGAATTGCCTTAGCAGCGAGAGATGACGCAGCAGATGATGAAGCCGAAGATGAATAAGACATTCTCGTCATCATCTTTTCCTTATCCATATTTAGATCTTCGAGTTCCTCAAATCTGAAATCTTCTTCGATCCTTTTCAACATTCATCAACTTCGAATCTCAAAGTCTCCGATTTGGTGGTTCGGGGATGATGGGTCGACGATCTAGGGTTTTCCTTTGAGCATCTTTGTTGGATCTCTTCGCAAAATGATGCCAAAGTTTCAATTTTGTTTTCTCGTCGTCAACGCTTGACGGTGGCATCAATACGCAACGGGTTACGGAATTTAATTCCGGTTCTTGAATCTTGGTTTTCTACAATATGTCTTTAACCGGTTTTACCCTTCAATAGACTTCATTATATTATCATCCCTACAGTCCTAGGGGG